GAGCCTGGCCTTTATCTTGATTTTCACTGTCCGACTCTACCAATGATCTTGTGCGCTTTAAGCCCCTGCTCACCAACGGACTTTCCACCATGATCGATCCATCGTTAAACTGTGATTTTTGGAAGGGGGTTGAGCCTACGGAATCTTTGACGCTATCATAGACATCACTTGCGGCAATTTTGTGCATCGACCCTGAGATGTGTGCCTTGATTGGCCAATGTTGTGGAAGGGAAATGGTGCTGCGATGCTGGGGCCTTGGACTGCGTGTTATTCTCGTCATATCTACCCCCATTCGTTCGCAATATGACTTATAGCTTGAGACAAGGCGGTCCAGAGGTTGCGCACGACGATCAATGCCCCGTAAATAGATGGCTATCACTTCTTCAAATCTAAATGACGCAAATTAGTAACGCGTTGTTATTTGCGATCTTCCATCCAATGCGTACTCTGTATCGGCTTCTTCCAGAGCAAGCGCGTACTGCTCATACAGAAGCGCCGAAGCGACGCCAATGTCATTTGAAAAGAGGAAGTCGAATATTTCTGGCTTGGGTATCGTAGCGTGCTCTGCAAAGTAAAGCCATACTTGAAGGTAGCGAGGGTCTCGTTTGTATCGTGGATCGTTCAAAAGTTTGACAGCGGTTTCTTCTGCAACACGTGCTACTTTGCTAAAGTCAGCCGCGTTCTCTTGTCCAAGTCGGTGTTGCTCAGTTAGGTACGCGTAAGACAACGCCAAAGGATCGTCCTCGTTCTCACTTGCATAGTAACCTCCAGTGTAGCCTTTTGTACCTGAACCCCCTCCAAGTGTCTCTTTTGTATGTTTTGGCTGCAAAGGACTTCTGTTTCCCGCTAGCTTTCCTAGAATGCCAAAGCCAAACATGCGTACGACACGTCGTGTGGTTTGAAACTAGGTGAAATTGCCAAATTTAGAATTGCTGGTGTTGTTCTCTCCGGAAGCGGCGATGTGAAATGGAGCAAGACATTCACATCAACAGCTTTAATTTCGCCGGAGAAAGCATTGATAAGTCGCTGAGGTAAGTCCTTCACAACTTCAGAGAACGCAAGACCAAACAGCGTTTGTATGCAGAGGTTTTGTCTCTAAGGTTCGGTTGCCAAAAGAAGCGCAACAGATTGACCGCATACTTGAGCTGTTTGCAAAACGATATCATGAGTGCAACCCGGACTTGGTGGAAACATCAGGTATTTTATTTCTGTTATTCAGCGCTTCTGTGGTGGATTAATGGCTATTTACATAGACGAGGCATATGCCATTGCCTTCTCCTTGCTTTTGCTTCATACGGACGCTCACAATCCTCTTATCCGGAACAAAATGAGCAGGGAAGTCTTTATCTCGAACACAAAGATGATTATTGGCGGAGAAAAGATACCATCAGAAGTTCTAGATGTGGGTAAACACAATACCTCACTTTCAGTCACATGCTCAACCAACCACTGCAGCTTATGTATGACAATATCGTCGCCAGCAAATTTACTTATGCCGACGCCGAGGATATGGATCACGAGTTACGCGTACAATCGCTTGCAGGCTGGTTCGGCAGCAGAAGCAGGAGTGGGAGTCCAGCTGCTTCTGTTCCTAGCGTGAGTTCTTAATACAGCCTTACGAGAGTGATGTCTTACAAGCTTATACAGACCGTGGCGCCCCCTACCGAAGATTTGGCTAGACTAGAGGATATCATGCCTGCGGACAATCCATACAGCTACAAGGGAACTGCGCGTGAGTTCGACGCAAATCTCATTTATCAGGACTTCTTGCACGCCCGGATTCTGGAAATATCGGGGGTACGCGGAAAACGTGATGTAAATGAGAAGGAAACGTCCTCCAATGTCTCAACGGATGCGGCTTCTGTGCGCTCGTCGATGTATTTGTCCGGACAGAATCATGCAGACTTTGGGTACTCTGTCCGTGTAGCTAAAGCTGGATGTCTTGAACGCAAACATGACTTGGCGCAAGCGCAACGGAAGGCAAGCGCACGTGGCTGGAGGCCTTTTGGTATCCTACTCGGAGGCAGCCAGTTAATCTTCTTTTCGGAGCACACAATCTTTCAGGATATGCTTTCCGGTACTGAGGTATGGCGTGGAGGAAGGGCTGAAAGCGAACAGAGCTTCCCTCTCTTGCCCAGTCGGTCCGCTCAGAGCAACCTGAATGCAATTGCGATACCTGTAGAACCATCGCCGAGGCAGAGGATATCCCCAGCCTCCTCGCAAGGTGTACACGAGCGCATTAATTCAGCTGAATCTAACGGATCCTCACTGCCATCGAGCTATCCGCCACTCACAAGTTCTACCACCACCATGTCGTTCGCATCCAGTCAAACAGTCCCATTGCTTCGGCCACAGAAGTCTCTTTCGATAGTAGGCACAACCAACCGCAATTACAGAAATTCCCTCTCAATTGCAAATCTTCGTCCGTTTCAAATCATCTCACTTGCTGACTGCATATGCGTCTTTGACCACTCGTACACGAAATACCCCAACGCTTTTCGTCTGGTTTCCTTCAAGGACGGCCAGGAGTTTTTGTTTCGAGCTAATAATGAGCTCGATATGAATAACTGGATTCACGATATCAATTATGCGGCCGCACTTAAGAGCGCTGGCGTTCGTCTGCGCGGCTCGCACTTTAAAGCAGGCCGGAAATCTGCACATTCTGATCAAAATGAACTGCTGAAGAGAGAGGAGAACTTGAAGGTGTGTGGGACGACTTGCTATTCTGATCCTCACTGATGACATTATCCTTTAGAAAGCGCTCAATGACATTGATGCAAGTATTGAACGGAAATCCCAGTCCTATCGTCTCCATCTCAGGATACGAGCCAACTTTCTCATCTTGATACCCTTACAAAGATCGACCCGTGACAAAATCCACGAATACGCTGAAAAGGTTAGCAAGGCATTGAAATACGAACGATTGCAGCTTCAAAAACTCTTTTGCTATCGGGATGTACTGCAAAAGGAGCTCCTTGCTATGCATGATCCTCAGCATCGACCCTTTCTCAATGATGTCTATCGTCCTACTTATGACAATGATGGCATCGATCCTCTACACCGTGAGCGGAACAGGCTCTCCCCACTTTTGCATGTATCAGCTGCACGAACAAGGATGCAGAGAAGCTACAGTGCGGCTGAACCGCAGGGTTTCCAAGCGCCCAAACCGAAACTGGTCTCTTGGAACACGTCCATCACAAAGGATTTTCCGTCCGCGAATGAAAATGATCAGTGTCGACGCAAGCCACGAGGCATCTCTAGCTCTAGCATTCCCAACACATATATAGCCGGTGACGAAAACACACCAAGGTCACAATCACCGATACACAACAATAACGAGAGAACGAGTTCGCCGAGCAAACAGCACGAGATTGTGAGCCATGTTGAAATTGCACTTCCAATGGAAAGAGACAAGCGAGACATATTACTAGAAGTGAATGACGAAAACGGTCAGCATCGCTTTGGAAGTAGCAGGAATAGCTCAGCGAATGTCTCGGGATCGTCCACGCCGACGGAACATGGGACACCCAAACTTGCCCGATTTGTTCCATCTTGGGATTGGCCAAAACCATTCAACAAGATAAAAAATGTGGTAAGCTCTTCCAACGACGATGCACAACTTTCCGCCAATTTGTTACCTGTCTCGAAGACTGTGCAAAACGAAAAGATCGTGCGTCGAAGGTCTCGCAGCAACCCTGTTCTACCTACACCCGAAATGATACAAGCGTCACGATCACCCTTGAGACATGCCACAACCCCTTTACCAACCAATATGGAGGTTCCAGAATTCCGTATAGGAGTGCATTTCGCCGCAGATAATACCCGCAACGAGCGATCTGAGGGCATTCCTTTACGAGACAGAAGTGCGAGCGATGCCAGTTATTTGAGAGAAGACGACGAAATCAGTGTTGTCGTCACCGACGCCGATAACAAGTAGAACTTAAAGCATGCAATGTCCATTGTAGCAGCTTGTACTAATATATTCAAGTCCAACGATGTATACATACGGGACATTTTTCTTTTCAATCTTGAACTACCCTGGTCAAAGCGGTATGGCAATTTCCCTGAGGTAGAGGGTAAAGGCGGGTGGTTGCTATAAGCTAGGTAAGATGGAAAATAATAAATTTCAAAGGCAGGTAAGGTAGCTATGGTGGCTAGGGTAAAGCGAAAATTCGCTAGGTAACGTAACGTCAAGGTAGAGTAAGGTAAGATAAGCTGAAAGATTAGGTGAAATAAGTAGGTAGAGGGTAAGTTGACGTAAAATAAAGGCAGGCTTAGGTGTGTTTAGTTAGGTTGAGGTAAGCTAGGTAACAGGTAGTTAGGGCGGGCAAAGTAATGTAAGAGAAAGGTCAAGGATAAGCTGAAAGATAATGTAAAGGAGGTGAAAGAGCTTCTCAGAACTTCATAGCTTTTTGCGCAAGTAGTTCCCATTGTTGAAGGCATTGGCGGACGGACTTTTCACGCGTGGTCTACCTACAGAAATTTGGCAGTAAATGCGCGACATATAGCGCAAATCACCAAATTATAGTCACATAGGTGAACTGGGAACGAGTGTCGAGCCCCAAAACACCATCCATAACCCAATTCCATTATTTGCTTATCGGATTGAATGCGACACCTGTTCGCAGTTATAGGCATTCTAAGTCGTAATCACCATCAGATAAGGATACCCATATAGTCTATCTTATCATCTGTCAAATCTGGTACCATTTGAGATTGAATTCGAAAATATCCTCGCAAATAGGTCGACACTGGTACTGGTTAGTACTGCAATCTCTGATGAATTTCTAATCGTCCCAAAGAAAAGAGTGGGGAATGTTTTTTGAACAAACAGGCAAGAAAGAGTATGGAGTATAATTTGGAGCACGCAACGCACGGACACACGAGGTTCAATAGCTTCGGTATCGCGGGAAAATCGCGACTTGTTTCTCATTTCAGGGTTAGGGTTCTCATGGTGCTTTAAGTATATATAATTTTTTGGAAATTTACTAACAACAAAAGACACCATGGCGCAGTGGTACCGCGGTAGACTGCTAATCTATTTCCCTTTGGGTTCCCAGGTTCGAATCCTGGTGGTGTCGATTCTTTTTTGCGTTTTTGGCTCGGCTCGCAAGGCACCTTTGACTTTAGGGGCCCAGGATCTAAGGGGGTTGTGCCAACGATCATGAATCGACTGTCTAAGTGTTAAAGAGTCATCTGGAATGCTTACACAATGATTCTTCTCCCCTGTATTTGAGTTGTTTCTCCGTAATTGACGGTGCAGGTGACTCGAGTGTGATACGCACACGACTCTTGCTCTTTTTTGAACGTTTGGTCAAGAGAGCAAATAGGGAGCATAGTTGCTCTTTTCCTTGCTCTATTTCACTCTCACGGCTTGTTGCGTCCACTCTGATACCTCTTTAACTCCTCTCATACTCTCATCTCTAATTCACCTCACCATTTGCTCATGCGAGAGTACAAGCTGGTGGTGCTTGGGTCTGGTGGTGTTGGAAAGTCTGCGCTGGTAAGTGTTGGAAAACACGTCTGGAGTCATCGATTGGGTCGTGTCTGTGCGCAGCAGTCGGTCCCTATCACAGGTGTATGCTGAGCGCGGTGCACAGCAAGCCTGTCGGGGGGCAAGGCGCCTGCTTTCTCGTTCGCGATACCATCCAGCCACAGAAATAGCCAAGGAGTAACGCTTGTCGTTCTGTAGACAGTGCAGTTTGTACAATCCATCTTTGTGGAGCGCTATGATCCCACGATTGAAGACTCTTATCGAAAGCAAGTAGAAGTCGACGGCCAACAGTGTATGCTGGAAATCCTGGATACCGCCGGCACAGAACAGTTTACTGCCATGCGAGACTTGTATATGAAGAATGGACAAGGTTTCATCCTCGTGTTTTCAATAACGAGCATGGTGACCATGAACGACTTACACGAACTACGCGAACAGATATTACGGGTGAAGGACTCCGACAAGGTACGTTTTGTAGATACCACCTAACCCGCCCTTGCTCACTCATCGTCTAGGTCCCCATGGTGTTGGTGGGTAATAAGTGCGATTTGGAAGATGAACGCATGGTGTCAAGGGAACAAGGCATGATGTTATCACAGCAATGGGGTGCCATTCCCTTCTATGAGACATCTGCGCGACAAAAGATCAACGTCGACGAGGTCTTCTTTGACCTTGTGCGCCAGATCAATAGGCAAATGCCAAGTAGAGTGGAGAGAAAACGCAAGAAGTGTGTGATTCTATAAAATACTCGTTTGACCATGTCACATATAGGGCACACGTCCTTGAACGTGTCCAGTTTGCGCGAGACTGCGCGTAAGGGTGTTATCGAGCTCTTGGACTCGGTGAGTGAGAGCACTGTGCGCGTAATGCCTCTCATGCTCATGTCTTTGGCTTCAGGTGAGAGGCCGGAAAGGGTTGGTGCTGGATCCTCTACTGACCGGTCCACTGAGTCTGGTGGCCGAGTTTCAGCTCATGAAGGTAGGTGGGCTGTCAGACTAGGGTACATCTGGCGTCGATCGTTTATCGAGGTGGTTTACAGGACCATGGAGTCGAGAAGATATATCACCTGCAGCCAGGCATACTCGATACAGAGTGTGAGAGTTTGATATACCTCTGTCGACCTAAACTCAAGTACATGAAGTATATTACCGGTGGGGATGCGTCTACCATGCAAGTTGAAGTGGTGCTTTTGCTCACATGTCTATAGAGCAAGTCAAACATCACCTCGATGCGCGCCGTCGGATTGACTATTCGCTCTTTTTGGTGCCCCAGCAGACGCTAATATGTAAACGAGTGCTTGAGGAGGCTGGAATCCTTGGCGACATATCCATTGGCTCATTTCCCATGGAATGGATACCCTTCGAAGACGATCTTATTAGTATGGAACTGGATGGTGGGACATGGCGGGAACTGTATCTGGTAGGTCATCCTTGGATGCATTGGGGACTGGCGCGCTGAATGTCCAAATGTTAGGATGGAGACGATACCTCGATATATTACGCAGCCAAAGCTTTAATGAAACTACAGAAGCAGTATGGTCTGTTTCCGCGGATTGTGGGCAAGGGCGATTGCGCTCAAGTGAGTCACTGGCTCTAATGTTCCCTCCTTGGCTCACGTTGACGTCTTCAGCAACTCTGTGATATGCTATTGCGGATGCGACGAGAGCAAGCAGTTATCGATGACAATTCTTATACACACAGTGCTAATCCTACTGAATCCATCTCCACAATCATCGACCAAATCATCATTATTGATCGCTCTGTTGATCTTGTCACGCCGCTTTGCACGCAACTGACCTATGAGGGATTGATTGATGAGCTCAAAGGAATTCATCACTGTAAGTAACAACGTGTCGCGTTAAGTGAATATACTCAATCGCTCGTAGCCTTCTTAGAGCTCGATGCTTCCAAGGTTGGAAATACACAACAAGGTCAAGGTGGTGCACAAGCAAGAAATCCGACGTCACCTGGGACCGGACACGGTGGAATTAAGAAGAGGAATTACGCTCTGAATTCCTCAGATGCCTTGTTTGCCCAACTTCGAGATCTCAATTTTGCTATCGTTGGCGGCTTGCTCAACAAAACGGCAAAGCGTCTGAATGACAGTTATGAGGAACGCAATCAGGCCAAGACACCGGCACAGCTTCGGGAATTTGTCGGCAAGCTGAGAAAGCTAGAAGAAGAACGTGCGGCGCTTCAGACCCACACTGCCATAGCCGAGGATCTCATCAAGACCACCGTATCAGCCGAATTCAACCGGATGCTCGAGGTACAACAAAGTAGGTTGTTCAAACACGGGACAAGTCAGGCGTTTAACCATTCTTTAGACCTCATTGCCGGCATCCTCGATAGCACCAAAGATACCGATTATATAGAGGAGCTCATCAACAAGGGAGCGCCACTTATTCAAGTTCTTCGTCTGCTATGTCTCCTTTCGCTAACGCAAGGCGGTATTAAACCCAAAAACTATGAATTTTTCAAGCGTGAAATCATGCAGGTAGGCTGGTTTTCCGCATGGAGCATCTAATGTGACCTTACTTGTAGTCGTATGGCTATGAACACATGCACACCTTCAGAAATCTCGAAACTCTCGGCATATTGTCCATCAAAGCATCCTCTTCAGCCTCCCGCAGCAACTTTGCCCACGCTCGACGCGCTCTACGATTACTCGTCGATGACGTGGATGATCACAACCCCAATGACATTGCCTACGTCTACTCTGGGTACGCGCCGATCAGTATACGGCTGGTACAGTGCGTTACCCAACGATTGCAACCCAACAACGTGGCCAGCGGAAGCATGAGTTTACTCAGTAATGTCGTGGGCAGCAGCAATGCCAGTGTCATTAGCGGCCGCCCTGGATCAGACAAGCAAACTGACAAATCAAAACAAGCCGAAGGTTGGAAAGGCTTTGAAGAGGTGCTTAAGCTCCTGCCTGGAAGAGTGTTCGATGAAGTTCAAAAATTGGAAGGCGTTACGGAAGCCCAGGTGAGAGATGCTCAGGCCAAGGCGAAGCGGTTGCATACTTTACGCAATGCCAAAACGACGCTTGTCTTCTTTTTGGGCGGGTGCACCTATACTGAAGTAGCTGCCATACGTTTCCTAGCGCAACAGGAAGAAGGTAAGGCGCGCAGGTTGCCATTGCACCGTTTTGGTGAACCTCCCTTAGGACAACGCGACTATCTGATCGCTACTACACAATTGATCAATGGAAACACATTGTTGGAGAGTGTCATGCAAGGCGTAAAACGACCCGAGGCACCGGTGACCTCCCCATAGGTGTTTAGACCCTCTTGGGCTCTCGTCAGGGGTTATTGTTTTTGGAAGCGTCATACCCACATAAACATATAACAGTGGGGCACATGTACATGCATTTGAACTAAAATACAGCATGCTGCCTGTCGCTACAGTAAAGGCTTCGTGTTATGGAGTTTGAGATCTCAGCTCGGTACCGTGACTTGCGAAGCATCAAGACCTAAAGCATGGAGGAAAAGATTGGTGTTGGCAATACCGAGAGCAGCCTCATCCGCTGGCACACGTGGATTGGCAGCAGCAGCAACGTTCTGCAATACCTTTTCCCTGAAAAAAATACGAGCGCTTAGACTTGCATAGTCCACATTCTTCGAAATATGTCTTGCGCTTACCTGACCTCGGTGACAAGGATATGTTGTTGTTCCATGGAAGCGCCGACGGCCATAGCAGCTAGAAATTGCCAAACATATGTATCATTCGCAGCAGAGACTGGAGGGAATATGCCCAGAAAGTGGTTTTGTAATGTTGAAAAAAGGTTGTTGTAGATTCCTGTCCATTGTGAAAGTTCCATGTCGTCAACGTGCTGTTCTTTGAGTATCTCGGCCCTACTCAGGAATATTGTCAAAAATGCCAGACCGGCTTTCGTCTTTGTGATCTTTGGGATATTGTTTCGATCAAGGAAAATGGCCATGAGTCCGAGAACGATCTTAAAGGGAGCATCAGAGATAAATCCGAGGGCAAACGGAATGACGTGGTTGACAAAGTAGTCGATCTGGTATTGAACATCCTTATTGATACCAGCTGGGGCCGATATGTCGTAGAGACCGGGTTGACAAACGTCCAGGGAATCAAAGTTGGCGACAAGCATGGTAAGCATTGTCAAGGTTTGCTCCGGCGTGAGATGTCGGACAATCCGAGCCACCAGCTTTTTAGCTTTGGGAACAGATAAGAAAGCGATGAAAGGATGCGGATAGGTTACGCCAATGGGGTCGGTGACTTTCAAAAGTTCCCATAGCTTCTGCAAATGGCCTCCATAGTCTTCATTCCATCGCTTGACTGCATCTTGATGTTGTTCTTCATGTTCTGGACGTGGCTCAGCAGGTGGGCTCAGTCGTCTCAATTGTTCGAGATGAAGAACCTCTGTATATGTGTCTTCCACTCTGCGAAGAAGCTGTCGTCGTTGATGTATTGTACCGTATGAAGTAGCCTGCGGTGCTGGCTTGGAGACTTTGGTCTCTGCATTGTCTGGTAACGGACTGTCAGCTGGGCTGCCTTTAGTGGAATCCCGCTTCGACTTGTCTTTGCCTCCATTCTCGGAAGCTTTGCTCACTTGCAG